CTGGTGTGTGGTGTTGGTCACACCCCTCCCATGGTGAGGCTTCTCCTGCTTTCCCTGCTCCCATAAAACCTGACATGTAGGTTATTTATCAGCTCTTCTTCCCTGGCAGGGTGTGCACGTGCCAAGCTTTGGAGATGCTGTGTGATCCTGTGTGATCCTGCACGTGCTCGGAGGGCAGCGGGAATTTCCACTTGGTGCTCTCCTGTTGCAGACATCGGGGTTTTGGTTGTTAAATATTTACAGTGGTGGTGACACCCTGTCCCCAGGTGCCACTTCACTGGAGCAGATGTTTGTGCTGCTTGGTTTCGGGCCAGCATTAGCTTTTGATGGCTCTTTGCTCCTTCACTAAGCAAAACTCTCAGTTTTTGGTGTCAGCTGGTGGGAAACTATCAGTTTCCTTCTGCTAGGGAATTTAAATCCTGTTTTGTGTCACTGATGCCCCCATGGAATATGGCAGTGGACATTGCTGAGGTTTGCACTGGTCACAGATGTCCGAGGCTTGGGCAAAGCCAATGTTTCCAGAGTGTGGAAAACCCAGCTGGGAGCAGCATCAAACCCTGAGTGCTGTAAAAGCCTCTGCTGTTGGGATGGAGCTGCTGCAGTTGGGAGTAAAACTGTTGAAATGCAGAAGCTGCCACGTGTAGAAAACAAAACCAGGCATGACATGGAAAGAAACAGAACAAAGAATTTATCGATACCATGTTTCGAGGATATGGGAAAGGATTTTGCTGGAGAACTAAGGTTAAGTTTTTGTTTGCAGTGAATGTTGAAACTGAACCAGGAGCTTCCTCCCAGCGTGTGAGGAGAAGCTGAACTGTAAAATGTGCTTTTCTTGGTAATAACAGCAAGAATTAACTGTGCAGCTCGTCTTGATGGATGGAAACATGAATGGATCGAGTGCTCCAAACTGTCATTCGGCAAATTGTGCTGCTTGGAAATTCTGATTTAAGCTAATGTCGTAATAATATTTAATTTATAATTCATTTATACATTTAAGTGCATCCAGATTCCTCCTTCCAATTCATGCTTTCTTATTTTGACAGCAAAAAAGAATTCTAACTCATATCAGTGACCAAGCTTCCAGTTGAATTAAATTCTATTAAATTAAGGAATTTTATTTGAATTAATAATGCTTCTTTGAAGAAGTCCAGACTTTTGCAGGGCTGTATCTCCTGCTTGCATTGGTGTGCTGGAGCATGGCAACACAGATAAGGACAGTAAATGTAAATACCCCCAGTGAAAAGCTGTGGTGGAGTGGGATCTGTTTGAAGCACATTTGGGACTTGGCTCCTTTGTTAGCCTAAAAAAATACATATCAACCCCCTGCTGAAGGACTGAGCGTGTTCCTCTCTGGACGGAGCTTTGTTCGGAATGTTTTGTTAGGGAATCTTTTGACGTGCCCGGAGATTTTCAACAAAATGGCTGCTTTCCTCGGGTTTGTTCCTATCTGGATATCAACAGGCTCGCTGCCCTCGGCTCCAGGCAAAGCGCCTCGGCTCCCACATGTAAAATTTAATAGGTGCTGTTGTAAGGGAGATGTGCTGGTTCAGCTTTCATCACACCACGGTCATGTTGGGCTGTTCCTTCGCTCGCCGTCCGTTTGTGGCTGCTTTCCTTAGGAAAATTCCTCTTTGTAAACAGAAAACAGCCTTAGTGAGAGCACACGCTCCCAGCCCCGGGAGTAATCCCGTCTGAGCAGCAGCGTAGCCTGTTCATAACTAATCTTGGTGGTGTTAGTCGCAGGCAGTAATCCCCTGTGCCAGAGGAGAAGCCCAGCAGCTGCAGAGCAGAGGCTGCACCATCCCAGTGCTGTGGAACAGAGTGTTGTTTAAATATTCCATTAATTTTCACAGCAGGAGCATCGGAAGCGATGGCTGGGGGCTCGTGCAGCAGCGCAGTGTTGACGAAGGGCTGGAGCAGAACTGGTGTTGAAACATCACAATATTTTGGTGTCCTGTGTGCCCAAGGTCCAGGACACACCTCTTGCTGGGGTGGGTGCTGTGGCTGACTCCTCCAATACTGCTCCCAAATAATTGTGAGGAGAGTGTGTGCACGGGAGCAATTCCCGCAGAGCAGCTGTTCCCGGTACCCTGGTGGTGTGTCTGGCCTTAAATTGCAACAGTCCTTCGTGCCAGAGGTTTTGGCATTTGTTTTTAGCTGTAGTTTGTCTCCCAGCTGCCTCCCTCCCTGTCTCCCGTGTTCCCTGTGTGCTGCTGGCCGAGGTTTAGGGATGAGCAGGGGCACGGCTGTGTTAATCCTGGCCTTCTGTATCCATGAAACAAGCAGTTTAGTTTTAAATACCACCTCTTGGATGTGGCAGGCAGCAAAAGCAGGCAGCCCAGCTATTTCTGGTAGGAGCTTGTCATGCTGCTGGTGTCTCCTTTTCTTTTTTAAATGAACATGTTGAACCTGTAGCTGGAGGAAGCTGGAGCACAGCAAGGCAGGAGAAGGTGATAATACAGTATGATCCTAAACAACATGCTTTGTACACTGACAGTGCACTGCTGGGATACCTGGGGGAGTCTGACCTAGGGAATCTTGTTTTGGAAAAATGCAGTGCTAATGTGTTGGGAAATTGGAGAAGCCACAAACGAAACCCTCTTGTTCTTCATGGCCACGTGTTTTTTGGAGAGTGGTATTTGCTGGATCTGCCTTGTTGTGCTTAATAATCACTGCAGACCACTCGAGTTCCTTATTAATATGCCATAACTTATCCTGCAGTGTAGGGGGAACCTTCTGTCTTTTTAAAAAGTCAGCCAGAGACCACTACCTCAGCTGCCTCTCAGCCTATTAAGTGATTAATAGGTATTCCCAGAAGCCTTAATAAGTGGCCAAGTGGGCTGCTGTTGCAGAAGGTAGGACAAGACTTCAGGCTGATTTTAATTAAAGCTCTCTTAATGCTGTTGCTTGAGAAATGAAGGAAGTGGTGTTTCTGTGTACATCTGGCAGATCTCTGGGCTGAGTGAAGGCACCTTGTGTTGAAGAGCTCTGTGCTTTGCTGTCTGAAACTCGTAATTTAGACTTATAGGAGCTGGTATCATAACCAAGATAATCTAGAGATAAGATTGGTTTATTTACTGAGGTATATTTTTATCTTTGATTAAATTGCTCTAGGAATTGGGTCTAAGTGAGCTTTTAAGAGCTCCTTTAGGTACTGCTGCACGATACAGACTGAGTTCCAGGAAAAGATGTTGTGGAGACCCAAATGCAAAGCAGCCTAGAAAGATCAAAAACTAAACCCTGAAAGAGGCTGCTGCAGGAGCCTTTTGGTGAAGGAGATCTTTAAATTCCCATACAGCTTCTCGTTAGCAGGACTGACTTGGAGCAGATGAACTGCTTACTCCCCTTTCTGCCGGGCTGGATCAGGGATGGATGCTGTTGGAAAGCTGGTGGCATGTGGTTGTCAACCAGGCACCTCATGAATCACAATGAAGGGCTTGGATCCACATTACCTGGGAAACTGGTTCAGCTATGGACTGGGACCACACTTTCACCACGCTGTGTTTGGCAGTCCTCATTTCTGGTATTCTCTGCCCTATGCTGTGTAGATTTGCCATCCCAGCTGGTCTAACCTTTCCAAAGCTGCTTTTGTTCACATGGGCTTTTTAAGCTGGAAAAATTCTTAATTTGGCCTTAAACAATCTGTGCTGGCATTAGTAAGAGTCAGAACACGCTGCAGAAGGAGAGGAGTGTCACTTTTTATAGTATGAACCACAAAACTATTCTTTGTGCTTACATTTTCACCCGAGGGCTTTATTTCAGTGAAGATTTTGTTGGTGTTGGTGATGAAAGATGCTGCCCTGCTTTCCCCTCGTGCTAATGCAGCTGCTTGTGTGGTCAGGCAATCAAACAGATTGGGGGAAGCGATTCCATGAAAAAAAACAACTTAAAGGTAAAGAGAAAATCAGTTTCTGAGCCCGTATTTGCAGCACTGCAGCATAAAATGGCTGTACTGGGATGGACTGGGCGTGCATGGGTGGGGTGGGATCCTTGGGGGGGGGGGGGACACACACACAGCATCGGCTTTTGGCAGCTCCACGTTGTGGCTGTAGCTGGAGGGCTCAGGAAATCACATTGCTGGTTTCTGTCCTACTTTCCAACAGCTTCAGAGCATCCATTGAACATTGGCCCTCAGGCAAACTTCCATTTTGGTGTCAGATGGCAAAGTACACACAGCAGCTCTCAGGGGCTGCTCTTGTCTCCCTTGCATGGAAATGGTCCTAAAACTGAGCCCAGGGTGTGGATTTAGGGAGCTAAACCGGGGTTCTGGGGTGTAACAGAAGCCGTATGGTTTGTTGTGTTTCCCAGCTCATATAACCAAACCCTTGGCTGGTGGTACAGATTCAATTGGAAGAGAAACTTGTACACAAGTGAAAATCAGCTTTTATTTTCCATCCTATTTCTGACCTTTCTAATCTCTATTTCTTTCCTTAGCTATGTGGTTCTGTGAGTATTTTCTGGATCTTTTCTGTGCTTTGTGAACATCTGGGGAATTCCAAGGACTTTGTCGTCTTACACTGGCAGACACTTGTGTTCTAGGAGAGTTTTCAGCCCAAGTGTTGTGGTGGTCAGGGTTGGGACAAACAAGGAATACTCTTGCTCTGCAGGTAGTGTGGAGGTTGTGGCAAAAATGGGTAGGATGGATGGATGGAAATCAGCCCTTCCTGCGTTTTGCAGACATCCTGGGGTTGCATTGTGTGGGCACACTGGGTGTGGAGATGTTGGCACTTAATCATCTCGTGTGGTAGCAGTAACTGACCTGTTCCTTAAGTCTTCATCGAAATTTTCATTTTATATAGACACTTGGATTTACAGAAGTAGGGTTTTTTTTATTACTTTTCTGTCTGTCAAGTCTATCTTATGATAGTAACCATGTATTGTTTACACAGATGTTGTTATCAGACCCCCTGATTTCCCCTTTGCCTGTTCAAAACTCTGCTTGGTGTTCTCATACCAGTTTGGTTACTCAATTAATGTTTGGTTCTCCTTTCTTTCTCCAGAATCCAGCGACTATCACTCGAATACTGCTTAGCCATTTCAACTGGGATAAGGAGAAGCTGATGGAGAGGTAAGCAGCCACCTTGTGCTTCAGACCTGCAAGAAATGTTTGTTCCTGGGTTAATGTGAGGCTGGAGGAATGCACAGTGTGTGGCAGGAGAATCTCTTGTGTAAGCTCTAAATGTTCCCCCTTTCCCAGCTAAGAGTGACTCCTGGTTTAAATGTTATTAATCCCTATTAGAGTGAGAAGTTGTGGAAGTTGCCTATTGGAAAGAGGGATTTCCAGTTTGAACACATACAGGCAAAGCATTTGGACAGGCTCTGGAAAAAAGCAAGCAGGAACAGGTTCCTGTTATCTTGCAAGTGTTTTGGGTTTGGGTTTAGCTGCTCTTGCCTGTCATGCTGGCATGTGTATTCCTGACATGTTTATTTACTAGTCTGGCCAAGACTAAATTGCTCCTGACTGATAATGTTCCTGCCTTGTCTTCATCTTTGCAGCTTCAGGTTTTCTTCAGTGTGTTTGTAACTAATGGCTTGAATTTTGCCTCTCCCTCCCCCTCAGAGCAGAGTGTTTTATGTTTGTTTCTCATCTTTGATTCCCATTTGGGGAAATTTGCTGGTAAAGGTACTTTTTATAGTTTGTTGTTGCACAGTGGAGGCCAAATCCAACTGCTGTGTGGTTTTTTCAATGCCAGTGTTGGTGTTGAAGACAATTGAGGGAGCTGCAGGATTCTATTTACTTCAGAAGGTGGGGGAGGGAATTAATGTGGACCAGAAGGAGCAGTAAAGACTGTAAAGGGTCTTACTGGTTGTTGTGGTCTTTGCTGGTCTTAACAAGTGTTAAATGGCCAGTGAGTGGGTAGTGAGGGCAGAAGGACTCAGGGCCTGGTAGGATTGTTTGTTTGACTTTCTCCTAATTACCATTTCCTTTGCCAGATAATCAGGGAATGGGAAGATGGGAGCTCTGTGGTCTGTAAACCAGGAGCAGTTGGTGGTGGGATGAATGATAAATGTCACTTAACTGACCCCCTGTAGTTCGGTGCTCTGTCACCCAGGGAAGGAGGAGTGACAGGTTTTCAGACTGTTTGTAATTATTTTGGAGTATAAATATTTCTGCTATCCTGGGCTAATGGATTTAGGACACCTTTAGGCCCCTTTGTAGAACATTTTCGGTGATGGTGCTCAGGTATCTCTCACGTTTTGTTTAACCTGGATTTTTTTCTTTTTCTGAAGTGATTGTGTTTTTTACAGCTTTCTAGTCCTTGCTTTATTTTCCTGAGATTGACCTCTTTGAGTTAATGTTGGAAGTCTGAAAGCTTTGTGTTACAAATATAGCCACTATTTAACTCTGGCTGCAGCTGTTAAACATTCTGATTTAGTTCCTGCTCTGCAATGTGTGTCCACTTCTTTGTTTGAGTTTCTTGGGCTGGTTCTCTTGGTCAGGCTAAAGTTCACCCTCCTTGGCTGCCTCCATCTCCCAGTGAGGTGCCTCTCCACAAGTGCTGCTGAAATGTCATCCCTTTATTTAGTAGGTTTTGTCCCTTCTCACTGAAAGCTTGTTTAAGGCTGCCATCAATTTAAAAAATAAAAATTGGGCTGTGGTTTTTTTTCAAAGGGAGGTGTCAGCCGGTTCCATGTGAGGTGCTGTTGTTAAGGCTTTTACAGTTTTCAACAAAACACTTTAAGTGCCCATTAATAGTTACAAATCCCCAGGTAAACACACTCATTAAAATACTTACCTTAATTCTATAGGATTACCCCTGTGAATAATGGAATAACCCTTGCTTATGCAGACCTGTTGCGCACTGGTCACAGATTTGGTGCTGATTGATGTCTTGTGTTAGAAAAACACAAAAACGAGATCTCTGGAGTACCTGGTGTTGCCTTCTGTCACTTCTTCACCGAATAACTTCATGAACTCTTTTGGAGTGCTCAGCTGTGTTAGAGCTCATAGGGCTCAGGAGGATTTTGTGATTGCTCTGGTGATAGGTGAGGTTTAAGCAGGGAGGGGAACCCCCAAAACATGCATTTTACTTGAAAGTCCGTGTTGTTCAGTGGTGTGTATTTACAGTACTCTGTCAGTGCCTGTTTTACCTTAGCTCATGGTGAGTCAGCATGACCTCACAGCAGCCCTATCAAACCTGGCCTGGAGTAAAGCACACAAAGTGGCTTCTTTTTGGATAAGTGGTGAGCTCTGAGCTCGTGACATGAAAATTTCCGTGTTTTAAACCACTTTTTTTTTTTTTTTGGCCTTGTTTTTAACGAGCAGGTTGTTATTGTCTGGGCCACCTTTGTCACAGAATAATTGCACGGTGGTGGTGAGAGGGCAGATGTGTAACAGGTCTACTTACCATGGAGTAAGAGCCACAATTAAAAAAACTGCCCCGTCCCACTGGTGAAACACTTAATTATTTGTGTTGGAAAGCAGAACTGGGGGGTTGGAGTGGATGGAAGTGGGTAGTGGAAGAAGTACTCAGGTTCAGTCTCTGATATGCTGCATGTTTTTTGGAGAATAAAGATGTCAAAAATTGTTTTCCTGTGCCTCACAGGTTTGATTCACATAGACAGGAGAGCAGCAGGTGCAGAATGACCAGGGAACCTCAGACAGAGCTGAAGGAGGTGCTTTAGCTTTGAACTTCATCCCCATTACCTTCCAGTTTTACTGGGGCTGATGGTGTCCATCCCTCCTGAGGGGAGTTTTGGGGATGAACCTGCTGATGATGAAGAGATTAAAATGTAGCTTTCCTGCTTTCTGTGCCTCCCCCAGTCATTTTGCTAAAGGCAAAGTGTCTCAGCTGCACCCAAGGCCTGATTTCTTCCCTGGAGGCACAAGCAGAGCAGCAGCCCCTTACAGGTGCTTATCTAGGTGGGTACATGTCCCTGCTCCCTCTGAGCAAAGGAAGGATGCCAGGATGGCCCAGACTGACTCTTCTCTAGGTACCAGGTGCTTTCTTTGGGGCAAAAATGTCCTTTTCACCATCCAACAGAGGCTGAACAGATGAGAAACGGTGTATGGCAGGAGTTTAGATGTGGAGATCTCTTTTATTGTGAGTGTACTGATGTTCTGACACTCACAAATGCTCTTTCGTGGAAATAAAATATCTCAAAGTGTGTACTAGAAGCATTTTTTTTTTGCAGTGAAAAGGCTTTTTATCTTTGATACTCCCATGGATAGGATTTGATTATGTCTAGAAAACGGCGATTAGGCAGTTAGAGACAGCAGGAGGAAATTCTGAGGAGATAAAGGAGCTGACAGCTTGATCCCTCTGCCAAAAAGACTTGAGACTGTTATAGATTTGGTCTTGGTGAGCAGAAGGACTTGAAAATAATTCACTGGTTTGTCCATTAATTTTAAAATAGCAGAAACCCCACCTTAGTGGTGAAGAGAATACATATTGAAGAATTGACATAACAAATCCTCATGTCTCAGAAGGGCTGGATTTACTCAGTATCTGCATTGAGAAGGGAGAGGAGGCTGTTAAAGGTCCTGTGCTTCTCCTTAGGATGAAAATAAGGATGAAGGTACAAAGAACCAACCCTTTAACAGAGGGAATTCGAGGAAAAATCCAAATCCTTGGAGATCCTAGATGGAACCTGTTAGTAAATCCCTGATCAGTTAATTTTGGGAGGAATGTTGGTGTCAATTAATTTCCTTGGCATGAATCTGGAGGCATTTGGTTCAGAGGAGGATCCAGGGAAAAATCCAGACAGCTGGGAGGATCCCAGCAATGGAAATGGTATAAATGGAGCTGCTGACACAGAGGAGCTCTGGAGAAAGGTAGACGTGGTTTGGGGTGCATTGGGTGAGATCTGCAGCAGAAAGACATGTGAAACCGTAGGAATCACGTTCATATCTTGGCTGGGATTGCATTAGTTTTGGCTCCTTGGGCTTAAGGAGGATGAATGGGAATGGAAGTTGGTGGTTGAGAAGGTTTGCTGGGCCAGGGAAGCGGGGGATGTCAGGGAGGAGCTCATCTGCTGTGGTGGGAAAGGGTTAGAGCTGCTGCCTGGGAGTCCTTGGAGCAAAGAGCACAGGAGGGGCAAAGGGAGATCTGCCTGCATGGATGGGCTGTGCTGATACTGGAGCAAGGGGGGAAAAGGGATGGTGATTGGAATTAGGATTCGTTCCTAACCATTGAAGGAATTGGCACAGTCTTCCCTCTGAGCCCTTGGTGTGTTTGCATAAGGAGTGGTGGAGCAGTTGGAGAGCTTTATTCCACAGTATCCATTGGAGTTGTGTGTTTGCAGTGAAATCCAGGTTTTCTTCTGCCTTTCCTAGGGTGTTTGTGGCCCAGTGACAGAACAGTTTTGAGTCTGACACACACGTTCAAATAGTTGTGGAAATTACTTGCATGAAAAGAAAACAGCATGGGGAAGCAGGAATACTATCCATGGGTATTCACAAGGAGTGAGTAATTTGAGGTGAAAAAAAGTCAAGTTCCTGACATGGATATTCACCCTTAGAGACCAGCCCTCCATTACAAATACCTCTGGTATTTCCATAAGCATTTAGCTGGCCCTGAGTGGCAGGATTCGAGGTGCATCATTTGTCTTCAAAACTTCTCCTTGCAAACCTTACAAACCCCCAGCTGTGTCTGCTCTCCCCAAATGGAGCATGTCCTGTGCTGGTCCTGCTGCCTGGAAGAGCAGTTGGAAGTTGGAGCAGCAGGAAACCTTTTGTGGAGTTAATATTTACCTCTTAATAAACAAATACTGCCTGTCATGGGACTGCACTGAATGTACATGCTAAAATTTTCTAAATATACAGTTTTATATATTTATATTTAAACATAATATATAGATTTCTAAATATAATCCTCAAGGCAAACACGATAACTTGGTTGAGTTAAATCCCTGAGCTAACACTGAGGAACAGCGGCAAAGCCTCACGGATGCTGCCGTGCCAGAATTCACCACCTCCTCCCAAGTTCAGGGTCCTGAAATTTAAGGTCTAAAATATGTGAACTGCATCGAGAAACATGTGAAACAGCAGGAAAATTAATATCTTTTAATTGTTAGTCAGGTCTTGTTGGTGGGTAGTGCTGTGAGGGAGCTGGGGAATGACTGACTGGGTTTGACTGGGGGATGTATGTGCAGGTGATGGAGCTGGTTAATTGTCTGATTTAATGAGTTCTTCGCAGCTGCTGCAGCTGGAGAAAGATGTGAAAGATCCAGGGAAGAGGCAGAGCTGCCTAACAACAATTCTTTCCAGTCTGGTCCTTCTCCCCAAGTTGAGGAGCTTTTTGTAAGCCTTTAAAGCAAACCAGTATCTTTTCTCTTAAGGGAATAGGAAATAGAAAGAAAGTGGTCTTTTGTCTCCCCCCAACCAATTCTGCATCCTCTTTTCCACAAGGTACCTAATCTTTGGAAGCATTGTAAGCCTGAAATTGCATTTTTTAGGAGGTTGTTACAATACCTCAGGTTGACCGGAGACAAAAGATACTCAAATGGCTGGTGATTAGAATATTAGGAAAAATGGAAGGCTTAAACTGGAAAGAGAATGGAAGTTGGAGCTCTCAAACCTGTGCTTGAGGATGGACTGCAAAGTAGGATGTTCTTGATCTGGTTTTCCTGTCCAGGAGTTATAACGCAAAGCAGTCACTGGGGAGAATCAGGAATTACTTGAAATGCAGCTGAAGAATTGATGGCACTTGAATTTCAGGACTGTGCAATTCAAGTGAGAATCTCTGAGGTGATGGAGTTGTCCAATACTCACCTCTGTGGTGTGTTAGTGAAGAGTTTGTTAGAAGTAGTGGGTTTGCGAGTTTGGAAGTACTAAAAGTAACATTTAACTCCCAAATAGAATGGGACAATGACTTACAGAGAAGGGAGTGAAATTTTCCTTGTCTCTTGTGTCGTGCAGGTACTTTGATGGCAACTTGGAGAAGCTCTTTGCAGAGTGTCATGTAATTAATCCAAGTAAAAAATCCCGGACGCGCCAGATGAACACGAGGTCATCAGCCCAGGATATGTCCTGTCAGATCTGCTATCTGAACTACCCAAACTCGGTGAGTACCTGACCAGCAACTCCCCAGATTGCCCATCTGAAACTTAATATTCTTCTGCAGAATGCCCATGAGGGTGCTGGGGCCTGGGCAGCAATGTAGGAAAGCTCAGAAAAAAGCAAGCAGGTGACTTTTGAGAAGTGCAGATACCAGTTGAGATGTGCAAATAAAATGGTACATGAAAGAAAAAATATGTGGAAAGCACCATGGGCATAGAGTGACAGGGCAGGAAACAGCTTTTAAAAGTGGTAAATAATGATGTAACATAGTCAGACTAGAAAGTCTGGAATAAAACTGAGTAGAAGTAAAATGTGGCTGTCTTTGGATCTGCTCATGTTTGCACAACGCCCTCTCAGTGGGAGGGAATGAGGGTGGCAGTGCCTGCTGGGGCTCTGGGTCAGCCTCCTGATGTCTGTTGGGTGGGTGATGGTGGGTCTTCTTTTTGTGGCTGTTGACAAAATGGAAGCATTCCCATCCTTTGATAACTCGTCCAGGCTCTGCTGTGATTTCCCGGGGGCAGGACATGCTGGTGGGAGATCCCAGGAGAAAAGGAAACGAGTGGGAAGGCTCAAACAGGAGAGTTAATCCATGGCTTTGCCAAAAGGCAGGATGACACAGTGAGGGATTGTTCCTTGGTTGGAACCTGCCCTTCCTGGGGGAGCTGTCCTGCCCCTCCAAAACACCCTCAAACAGACAAAAGGCTTCATTCTGCTCTGGGTGGGATGGGAACCACGATGAGCTTTTTGGGGCTCAGGAGCAGCCTGGGGTAAAGCACCCTGGCTGTTCTGGATCAGGCAGAGCTGAGCAAAGCCCAATTTCAGGCCTCACGTTCTCAGCCTTGAGGTCACTGTTGCTCTTGGGTCAGGAACCACAAGGCTTTGAGTGTCTCCTCTTAAGCCTCGTGTGCACTGACCCTCCCGCTGGGAGAGTAGCTGGAAAGGTAAGTGGTTGCTTGCCTTGTATAAAGAAAGACAAGCTTGAGAAATTTGTTTGACCCTCTACCTCGTGCTAAAATCCTTCTGTTTAAACACTGCAGGCTTTCCACGATAAGGAAATAAGTTTGATTTTAGGCTATGCAGCATTTTAAATGAAAATAGGAGGAGGGCTGAGCGAGAAAAATGGAAGGAGACATCTCAGTGTCCATCTCCAGAAAAAGGCCTTATGGAAACTTCAGATTTAGTGTCATGTTCTTAATATATTATTCTCCCCTTTTAGATGTAGTTGCTGTCCTGGCTGGAGGTGCAGCTCACAGCTGACAGGCCTCCCCTCTTGCTGGGGGTACCTGTGGTGCCTGGGAAGCAGCTCTCTGGCTCCTGACAGCCACTACACAAAGCACACTAACACTTTTGAGTTTGTAGCTCAAATAAAGTGTTAAAAATAGTAGTGGCCTGGTTGTTAGAAGAGCAGATTTTTAGCTGGACCAGTGGGAAGTGGCAGGTGAGCAGGGTTGTCTCTGGAGTTGGTGTTAAGACACATCAGAGGGGAACCTCTGTTTCTTTGGCATACATTAAAGTTGGAGCCTGTAGGAAAAGGCCGAAATGTCTGTGTCTGAAAGGTGACTGAAATCTGTTTTGAAGCTCTTTTAGTTAATATGAATTATAAATTCTAGGATTAAGTTTACGTTCAGTACCTAACCTAAAATCTCCAGTTTGAAAATCCTCTTGCAATGGTCAGCTGATTTTTTTTTCCACGTAAAATCTGTATTTTTTTTCCTGAGATCCCCTTTCAGCCTATGGAAATCTGAGAGTTTGGAGTTGTTAAGAAGTTTTGCAGGGTACAGTTATTGCAGGAATGTCAGAGTCTTGAATATTCCCCCTCTCGTGGGGTCCTTGCAGGTGGTATTTGTCTACAAGGTCTCTGTAGCTCCAGTCATCTCCATAGAACTGTGGGCTGAGGTTTTGGGAAGCAAAAGGAGGCATTTGATGCTCTTACCCTGCAAGTTTGAAAACCTCAGGGAGATATTTTACCCTTGCTGTGTCCCCATGAAGCAGTGCTGAGTCCCAGCAGTTATTTTGGGTGAAACCCTTGCTGGTAAGACAGGAATGAGCAGGCCATGGCTTTGCCTCTCTCCTCTCTTGCATCCCACCCTCAGGTTCCTTGGGGGGCCAGGCTGCAGGGTGGGGGTGTTTTTGGGAACACCCTGCTGTTGTCCAGACTGTGGGTGATGAGCACAGACGGGGTGACAGCAGAGCTGCCTCAGGAGCCACTGCTCCCCTTGCACTCGGGGTTTTATGTCAACCCTTTTGCTTGGCTCCCTTGACATCTGCTGTCAGCTGAGCCAAAAATAATTGGGAACTCCCTCAAAGTAAAGAAAAGTGTCGAGAGATACTCTGAATTCCTTGCAGCCTGGGAGGAAGTGTGGTGGCTGCCTTTCTGGGGGCATTTAGCAAACCTTTTCCCTGCCTGAAATAATCAGAACAAGCCTTAAGTGAAGAAGATTTGTGTTCTGTGGTGGTTCCTGGTGTGTGCCTGCTGTAGGAGTGTTTGGGTTCATTAAGGGCTGATCCCCTTGTCTGTGCTTGCCTCTCCTCACATGTGGAGAAGCCACAATTCTGGGAAGAGTCAGTGCTGTCTTTGGGATGGTTGCATGCTGTGGCATCCCAAAAGTTACAGATGTTGATACTTGTCAGTGATATTCCTGCAGCTCCAGGGGATGTCACTTGGGCACAGCAGCACCTGTAGAGCATCAGATCCCTCGTTAGCTGGCTCAGTGAAGGTTCAGGAATTGGAATGTCTCTGTTCAGCCTGGTGTTCCTCCATGCAGGTGTTGGGCTCCTCTCTGATTCTTTGCTGTTTTTGTTGGGGTGGATGTCTGTGTTTGAGATGCTCAGCTCCCTTCAGTGACTGGTGAGGTCACAGTGATCCGTGTTGCTGCTCGCAGGTTCCAGCCTGTGCTGGTGGCAGGAGCCAGACCAGTGTGAATCACAGCCCGGGAGCCCGTGGGAAGGAGGTGCTGACAGGCACCTTCCCTCAGCAAAACCCAGCTGAGACACCAGCGTGGGAGGGACAAAATAAATCTGTGATGGTCAAGGAGGCGGTTTGGGAAGAATATTTTCTTAAAATGGACTCCCCTTTTCCTCCATCCTACTGCTGTTTCGGGCTCTTCTGCAGAGGATTCCAGGTCCTTTCCTCTGTGGAGGTTCATGCAGGTTGATGGTATCTCGGGGTGGAGTTCTGGTTTTAGTTCACTGGCTGAGAAGATGATGGTTTGAAAAGCTAAGCCAGCAAATGTTACCTGCATGGTGGTACAAGTAAAGTGTTTTAAATACAGTTTTCCTTGCCCCTGGCTCTGGATCTAAAATAACTTTAAGCTGACCAGAGAAAAGTACCTTAATTCCAGTGTTTCCTCAGCAGTGTTTGCTTCTCCACCCCTTGTGTAACCACTCAGTCCCAGATGGAGTCTTGACACACTCTGTGCAGATGATGCAGACAAGGATGGAGTTGTCCTTGTTGCTCTCTGTGACAGCTGATCATTACTGAATTTTATTTAGCAATTTACACCTGCCAATTAGGATCTTTAGTGTCTTCATCTGATGAGCATCTGGGTTTCAGAGGGAAGTTTCCCAAGGAGGTCTGGGATTTTGGGCAGCACCCACATGTGCCAAGTGGAAAAAAAAAGGAGGAATGAAGACTCTGCATAATAATCCTATCACTGTGACCTGTTTAGTGGTGCATTTATTGACTGATTTACAGAGTAAAACAGGAGAGAGCTCTGTGTACACTCCTAAAACAAGGATAAATTGAAATGGGCAGGCAGGATGGAAACATGGGCCACACCTTTCCTTTCTGCTGGGGTTGGGGATTAGAGCCTGGCTTTGGAAGCATGACTAAAGCTGCCTGGGCAATGTTCTGTAGTGGTGATGATGCAAAATAAATAGTGTCTCAGGTTTGGTGTGGGGGAGAGAGATGTGGTGGGTGAACTGCACAGTACCAAGGAGATGGAAGTTAGGGAGTGAATCCATGTGATAAAATGATCCAATGCCCGGTGTTCTCTGTCATTGCAGTACTTTACTGGCCTAGAGTGTGGACACAAGTTCTGTATGCAGTGCTGGAGTGAATATTTAACTACCAAAATAATGGAGGAAGGCATGGGACAGGTAAAATGCCAACTCACCTCATGGCTTATTTCTGGAAGTTCTGGGAATTGAGGAGGAGGAGGAGGAAAGAAAAGGGAGAGTGCTCCCTAGTAAAGTTAAAAAAATCCAAGAGAGCAACAGAAAAAACCCAAACCCCAAAGGTTTGGTGGGGGGGGAGTGCAGCCTCTGCCACAGGTGGATCTGGAGGGAACTCCACGGGGTTGGTGCAGGTGGGGGGAGGAATCTTGCATGGGGCCACACCTGGGACGTGGTGGGAGAGCTAAAGCACTCTTTTTGCTATGGATTGTGGTGAATTCTGTTCCTTGCAATTCTCTGTGAAGCAAAAATAGGATAAACACTGTTCCTCCCATGCCCTTTTTGTGTTTTTCAGACCATTTCATGCCCTGCCCATGGCTGTGATATCTTAGTGGACGACAATACAGTTATGTGAGTACGCTCAGTTCCTCCCTGCTGACTTTCCTCTCTTTGCATTTTGTTACTCATGTGCTGTTCAGATGTTTTCAAATGCTCGTAACAGGCTGCACCCAGGCTTTCAGGGAGCAAAGAGGTCTGTCTTGGATGTTGTGTTTTGGTACTGGAATGTCTCTTGGATTCCTGTGGGGCTCTGAAAAACCCATGTGGTGGCACTGGGAGAGGAAAGACTCCCTGACCGGTTTGGTCATGAGAGCAGAATTTCCAAACCCAGTTCAACTGCTTTGTGCATTTTGTTTCCTTTGATTCATGTAGGAATTTGGGTCTTCCTTCCCAGGCCAACCCACTGGTTCCCCAAGCCCTGTAGCTGTAGTTACTGTGTGAGTCAGAGGACGTGAGTCCTACGGGCTGGTGTAGGGTGTGTTTTATGCCCCTGATAGGAAGCAAGGTACCCTCAAACAGCAGATTTGGTGAAGCTGGTGTGTGAGCCTGTGTCACTGGAGTTATTAAGTTGTCCAGCTGTAGATGACTGCTCACATGTGGTGGAGCAGTGAATTCCGTGAGCTTCCTTCTCTTTTGTATTGGGGGAGGTTATTGAATGAGTAATATCCTTCGTATTTCTGAACCTTCATTAAGTTCATTTTAATTCTTCTTGCTAAAAAGCATCTCAATGGGGGCTTATTCTGTTACCTTATTCTTTCCTTCCTGAAGCCTGACTCACTCATTGATATTAATTTGCTGGGGTTTATTATCAGTTGCTTTCAGAGTAGTGATTTTCCCAATCCCTCCGCAGTAGTGGCTCTCGGTTAGTCATGGAGTGTAGGCTGGATGCAAGTGGAAGGAGCTGAAGTGCTTTTCTGCCCTGTTGAGGGGTGGTTTGTAGAGTTCAGTGCGTGGAAACGGAGCTGAAGTTGGCATATCTTGCATAACTTGATTGAGATTTTTGTTTACCAGAGTTTGAACTTCAACTTGGGGTGTCGAACGCTCTCAGCAGGAAGTTTTTTGAGTGTTTTCTTGATTGCAACAGTTGGAACGAGCTGTTCAAATAGTGATTATGAAGTAGAGTAGCTGAAATCACCAGCAGCCATGGTGGCAGCAGCAAGGAAAGGATGGGAGGAGTGAAGTGCCATGGGATTCTCCCTGGCCTGGAGATGGCAGAGGTGGGAGGCCTGGGATAGGGAAATGGCCCCTGGGTGCTGAAGCAACCAAGGTCCCTTTTTCTAAGTAACACTTTAAACATTTTCTAGAGGTAAAAATACACCTTTCCCTGATCTTACCTGGATTTCAGGGGGAGGAAGGTGCGTCTTTTGCCAAAGTCTAATGCTTTGTTTAGAAGCCACGATTGACAACTGGGCATCTTAGAAATAGCATGAATAAAGATGTAAGGAATCCCAGCTGGAATCAGTATCCATTTCTGTGTCCTTAGTTATTCTCTTTTTAGATCTTTTGCTTTTTACAAAGTCTCCAGCTTTCCAAGCTGTAGAAACCTCAGATTTACATGCCATTTGTAGGGACATCAGTCTTTATCCATCAGAACACTGATGTAGATGGGCCACGTTGTTCCTTTGCTCCCTTCTTGGGACTTGCCTTCATCTCCAAGTTGGATTGTCTCCATATGACTCCAAACTTGGCAATTCAGGTGCCTTTCCTGGATTTGTGAGTATTTGGCCAGCTTAGAGTCGTGTTCCCTTGTTGAACTTGAGTGGGAAGGTTGAAGGGAGAGTCTGTTCCAGGACCTCCAGCCTGGCTGGGGGTTATCCATGGCTATCCCTCGCTCACCTCTGCTTGTGCTGCTGGGAAGTGCTTTCACCCTCATGCCAAGTTGTTAATTGCATTAATGAGCAAGGCAGGCTGCCCTTATTTCTGCCCTGGGTGACTCTGAAATCAGCTCACTCAGTAGGAAAGGATGGATTCTGGTTCCTGTTTGGAGGTCATAGGGAATTCTGCCTCACTTCTAATTTATGGTCTGATAAAGAATTGTTCCCACCTTTGGATGAGGTTTTGAGGTTGTGTAGTTCCAAACTAAGCTCCCAAGAAGAGATCAAAGTTAAAGGCTGTTTTCTCAAGAGTTTGCTGTTCCAACCTGGCTTTTTTGGTGAAGTTGCTTCTTTTCAAGCTTTGCTCACAGAGGAATGTACCCCAAAATATGATTTCTGGGCATTGGGCAGGGGTTTCATCTTTTAATTTGTCTAGTTTCCTTTATGATTTGGCAAGAGACAATCATATTCCAAGCAAAGTTCTTGAAGGTCTTGACCTGAGTGGTACTGTAGGACCTGGAGCAGGTGAGGTTGTTGACGTGGGGCAATCAAATCATTTTGATAAACAAACAACCAGTGGATTGTGTGCTCCACGTGCTCCATGAAGCCATTTAAATACCAGTTCCTGATATATACTTAAAGTACAATGAATTTTTGAAGTGACATTTACTGTGTCTACAAGCCCAAGTGTGGGGTAAAAAAATGAAATTTATAATTTGTGTTAAATTAAAATGTGGGTTTTTTCATTCTTCACCAAGTTGGACTCCAGAACTGCAGGCTGACCGTGGACACGGGGCTGAAGAGATGCTTTGTCAGCTGATTTGTTTTATTTTAGCCCTGGGAATTGAGCTGCCACGTGCTGTGTTTTATGTAATAACCAGCATGTGGTTTGGTGAGGAGCTCCCCGGGCTGCCCAGGGCTGGGATTTATGCAACATCCCTAACGAGCACTGGCAGGATAACATGCAGGAGTTCTCTTGGGCTGGGCTGCACGTGAAATGGATAATAACCCTGTAATTCAGTGTTTATGGCCTGGTGTTCCACGGGAGGATTTAAACCAGGAGCACCACAGAGGGTGTGTTAGTCCAGCTTTGTGTTCAGATATTGGGAAGACACTTCAGTCATATCTAAAAGACTTTTATAAAGGTGCTCAACTATGCATAACTAAAGTATTTTGGATGTGTTTAGACTGGGCAGTCTGCAAATGCCACCTGGGTTGGTGTGCCCGAGAGACTGTCACGGGTGTGCCCAGCTCACCGTGCTTTTAAAGGGTTCCCATCAGCCTAGTTTTCCTCTCCCAGTTCCAACTGGGAATTAAAGTCCATGTCTGGACTTAAAGTCCACATTGTTTATACCCTCAGTGGTGTTGAATTCAAATCAACTTTGGTTTTATGGTAAATAGATTAAAACACCGCTAAATTGTTCACCTGAAGCCGTGGCATTCCAGTGAACCCAGATAACGTGAGGCTTCCCGAAGTTTTGAACCACCCAGCGGTTGTTCCAGAGCTTTTTAAAGGGATTTACCACAAAATGTGCATGTTTTATGTAAATGGACTGATTAAATTATTTGCTTTGTTTTCTTTGCCTCTTCGGGAAAGTATTTTAAAATAAAAATCCTCACACCGAGAGGTTCAGTTCCTTTGAAATGCATGAGCTTTCTGTTTTTGAAGCTCATATGTATATATATGTATATTAAATACAGTGCATGTAGTTTTCATGATAATAAGTGATCTAACAAGTAAGTAGAGATCAGGAAGGTACAAGAAGTGCCTGCAAATGTAGAGGGATGAATCAAATCCATTTCTCTGTCTTAACTTACTGGATATGTATGGAAAAAAAAGAGTTTTCTACTACAATTTTTCTGTTTTTTCCCTCCCCACAGGCGTCTGATCACAGATTCCAAGGTTAAATTAAAGTACCAGCATCTAATAACCAATAGTTTTGTAGAGGTAAGTTTTTATTTGAAATTTTTAATTAATGATTTCTAGGTTGCTTTTGTCTTGCATATGTACCAAACCAGAGACTTGAGGCTATTTTATAACTGCAGAGCAGGTTTTTTTTGCATAATCTCTAATCAAGTGTGACTGCAGAGATTGTTTTGTAGCCCTTTGGGTTACGGGGATAGTTGTAGGAAGAGATTAAAAACCCTGTATGACAAAAGACATAGAGATGAAGAGAATGCAAGAGCTGTTGTTTAATATACAGCTTCTGAGGAGCACTTAATATTTACAGTTCTTGAACGTTATCTGAGATTCTTGGCACTGAAAACCAGGAGACAGGGTCGTGTAAGAGAACATGCCTTAAACATTTGCCATTTGAAGTAAAGCTGCAAAGCTGTTTTTAGCAAAAGCAAAAAATAAAACTTGGAGGACGCAAAATAAACGTGGAGAAAGGTGCTTTGGAAGGCTTTCCACTGTCCCAGTTTCCCAGTTGTGTGTGTTCAGATTCACTGCAGAGCCCAGGATGGAGGGCACTGGGATCAAGTTGGAAGCCGTTCCCCTTTATTTGAAGTGATGTTTGTGGCGGGTTTGGGTTCAGTCTTTTTTAATGATTGAAGCCACAGCCAAGGGTTGCAGGGCAGGAGGTGTCCTCGTTCACATCCCTGTCCCATCCTGTGGGGTTTGTGCTCTGTTCTTTAGTGTAATCGACTGTTAAAGTGGTGTCCTGCCCCCGACTGCCACCACGTCGTCAAAGTCCAATATCCTGACGCCAAACCCGTGCGCTGCAAATGTGGGCGTCAGTTCTGGTAAGAACAACCAGTGACAGACCTTGATGCTGCTCTTTTCTTACTGCCTTGAAAGTGTGGTAGTGTGTGTTCATGGAATGCCAGACTGGTTTGGGTTGGAAGGGACCTGAAAAGTGATCCAGTCCATGGGCAGGGACACCTTCCACTATCCCAGGTCGCTCCAAGCCCTGTCCAACCTGGCCTTGGACACTTCCAGGGCTGGGGCAGCCACAGCTTCTCTGGACAACCTGTGCCAGGACCTCCCCACCCTCACAGGGAAGGATTTCTCCCCAGTATCCCATCTGACTCTGCCTTCTGTCAGTTTGAAGCCATTCCCCCTCATCCTATGCTGTTTTGAAACGGCCTTTGAGGGATTGGATGCTGGAGGGTGGTGTTGGCTTAGATGCTTCCTTAGGACTGGCTTTGGTCTCTCATTAGAGCAACTCAGAAGAGAACTTCCCCTGTTTAATTAAAAGTACAATTATTTGTCCTGTTTGCTTACTTTTCCCCTTTCTTTCCCTCACAGCTTTAACTGCGGTGAAAACTGGCATGATCCTGTTAAATGCAAGGTGAGCACATCGAAGTTCTTTTCTAAATGCATGATTTGGAAGTTTAAAGTCAGTTTGTGTGCAGCACTTAGAAATGAAGCCCAAGCTTGGCATATTGGAGAATATCCTGAGTTGGAAGGGACCCACAAGGATCCTCGAGTCCAACTCTTGTTCCCATCAGGAAGCAGAATAGCTCAGCTGTTTAGACCACAGGGGGCAAATAACCAGTTAAATCATACTGGGGGCCTTTCCTGCCATACTGGGAGCCTCAGAGTTGGACCTTGTGAAGAAAAGGTGCCTCAGCCAGGTGGGAATTGGGTGGAGGAGGAGGCTGTTCCACCTGTGACCCTCTGCAGAGGGAGGAAGATGCTTTTTGGACAAGGAGCATTCCTGTACAAGACATTTCTGTCAGTGTTTGGTGCTTTGTCAGGTGTGTGATCTGTTGTACTGAAGGAATTAAATTGGTCCTGGACCTGCTGCAGTGCTCTGAACTGTAGAACTGTTTGTGGAGCTGTCAGAACTGTAGAACTGTTTGTGGAGCCTGGGAGGCTGTGGCCTGTGCAGAGCTCAGGGACAGACATGTTCCATGCCTTGGGGACAGAGCACTTTGCCTTCCTAGGGACACAAAACCTGCCTTGGAGGAGGGGAGGGGGGAACCCCAGAAAAGGTTCAGCAGGATTTAGTTGGTCTTCCTAGGCTGGATGTGGTCAGGTTATTATCTAGCAGGTGCAAGCAGCGTTTTGCTTTTGTTACTTTGATGAAGGCATGTTCACTAAGGTTTGAGCATGAGGTGAGCATTGCAAGCCTGAGGAAAAACCTGATTAATGTGAAGCTCAGCGTCACAGAGGGTCTGACAGCAGTTTTGGCACATCACTCTTAAGGGACTGGTTTGGGTTGGAAAGGACCTGAAAGGTGATCCAATCCCACCCCTCTGCCATAGGAGGGGACATCTTCCACCAGGTGTTCCAAGCCCCATCCAACCTGGCCTTGGATGCTTCCAGGGATGGGGCAGCCACAGCTTCTCTAGGCAGCCTGTGCCAGGGCCTCACCATTCTCACAGTATCCCACCTGATCCTGCCCTCTGTTACTCTGAAGCCATTCCCCCTTGTCCTGTCACGCCAGGCCCTTCGGGATAGTCTTTCTCCATCTTTCTTGTCAGCTCCCTTCAGGTCCTGGAAGGCCACAATTAGGTCACCTGAAAAACAAAATGTCCTTATTATTTCAGAGTCCAACATGAAGTTTGTGTTGATTCAACTGGAGAACAGCACTGAGTTTGCAGAAGTGTTTGTGGGGTTGCTTGTGCTCGCTGCATCAGCATGGTGCTGCAGGAACTGTCTGCACCTAAATTAGCTGCTATTTGCACAGTTTTCCAGCACCTACCCACCCCCCCTATTCCCATGTGATTGTGTGTACCTTTCCTTAATGCAAGCAGGTGCCTTGGGAACATTTCCAGTTCCTCTATTTAGACTTAACTCTGTTCTTTCACCGTTTTTCTGACAGTGGTTAAAGAAATGGATCAAGAAGTGTGATGATGACAGTGAAACTTCTAATTGGATTGCAGCCAACACAAAGGTGAGGGGAGTTCTCATGTTTTATATATAGATTTTTATATAGATATATCAAGCAAATTCCTCTGCACTAGGATTTTTTTACTGTTCCATGTTAAGAGCAAGCCTTAAAATGTACAGAACACTGAAGTGCTCTTGTTTGAAGAATAAACAGGTGAGTTCCTTCAGGTTCAGCGGCCTTTGCTCTGGGAAGAAAGAGTTAATTGGAGAGCCAAAGCTCGAGATTTAAGTGTTTGGGCTCCTGTCTGGCACCAGTGGCTTCCCTAAGCAAGCCTGTGCCTCACTCTATGTGTGCAACATGTTCCCACCACCCGTGCTGGGTTTGCTGGGATCACTTACATCTGCCTCTGAATCCCGGGGGTTGGCCTGCGGAGTGCTTCATTTCCACTGGGCAGCATTCCAGGTCCAGACTGGCAGAACAGCTGGTTGAGATTTTATTATGTAAATGTCTTCATCCTAGTTAGCCCAAGTTTGCCTGAAACTTCAGGGTTTGATAATTTTGGGGTGAATAAAAGCCAGGTTTGGCGTGGTGGCAAGGAAACAAAAGCAGCAGATGCCCTGGGGGGGTGAGGATCAAGCCTGGGGCTCCTGGCTGGAGCCTGAGGGTAGAGGAAGGTGGGGAGGGAGTGAGGAAATGGTTGCTTTGTTTTCTTAACTCTGTTGTGTAACTGGTTAATGGCATTGTTTGCAGCAGCCTTGCTGCTTTCTGGGGCTGCCTGCCTGGTTTTCATTGAACTGGAATGTTGCATTATGGTGAAAGAGAAACACCCATCCTGCAGTTTGAATCGGACTGGAATTGGGCAGTGTCCTGTGGGCTGAGGGCTGTGTGTCCCTGCTTGGAGCCTGCACATTGTCAACAAAGGGAATTCGCCTTTGTCTGAGCGTGTCCTATCGTGGCTCAAGAACTGAACTAGATTTGATCAGAGTTTGTTGGTCTTCAGGTCCTGTTCCTATTAAATCTGAGGAAGAGCAGCCAGTAGCTTGGAAGAGGCTGAGTGTAAGCATTGCTAGCCTTGGGGATCAAATATTTGGGACATTGGAACAGTCACAGCCATATTTTACTTGTCAAAGCCCTCAGGATCTGTTGCTGCCCCTCAGGGGGAGCATCTTGGGGTTTCCCATCTTGTACCTGACCCTGCCTTGGGAATAATAAGATTTTTTGGGAGGGCAACACCCATCAGGAGGGTGGCATCTGGCACCAGCCCAGCCTCTGGTAGTTCCCGGAGTCTGGTGTGAGCAGCAGGGCTGCTGTCCTTGGACAGCACTGTCTCAGCTACTTCCTCTAATATCTTCCAAGACACTCCTACATGGAAATACTTTGAAGTGCAGGCTGCAACAGGGAGGAAAAGCCAACTGTCCTGGTGTCTTGTGCTATGCATATCCATTGAATTAACTGAAGGACAATGTGACAGTTTCTCTCTCTGAACTGACGCTGGATTTGGTTGAGGGGAAAGTTGGCAGGAAGAGTAACCCATCCCTCATGCTGATCTCTGCCTCTGTGGGCAGCAGGGTGGGGAAGGTGGGAATCTCACCCTCTGGCTGCTGGGGCATGTGCCATGGGGCTTCACAGCTCCTGGAGAACTGGATGGGCTCGGAGCCCCCCAGCCAGCACCTCCTCCTGCCTCAGTTCCTGCTGGGCCTTGGCCAGAGCCACGGAGAAACCCAAGGGTGTGTCTGAGAGGAGCACAGTTCCTCCTGGAAGCAAAGGAAAAGCCTGTCCTGCTGTAGCATGCGTGATAGGCTGGGATGGGAACTGCACAGTTGGAGCATGCATCCATCCGTCCTTTCTCTGTCTCTGTACTTTTCCTAGCAGGAAAACAGGGCAGTCATGCTCGTCGAGGCAGGTCTTGTGCCTGCACAGCTGTTGGCTTCAGGGACTGAGAGTCAGAGCCCAAAGTCTGCGTTGAATTTCTTCATTTTGAAGAACGTAAAAAGGAATCAGGTACCATCATATGCAAAAATCCCCATTTTCAGTGGGAAAAGCTCGCCAAGTGATTCACTTGTGACTACAGGCTCCGTTGCTGTTTCTTGCATTTGGAAAGGGCTTTCTGGAGCCATCCAGGCGTGAGGCTGAGCTGCAGCCCTGTCCCATATGGGCTCCAGTCAGGAAAGGACATTTCCTGTTGTACCAAGATGAAGGTGTAAGAGACAAATACCAATCTTCTGGAATGTGGGCTTGAAATCTGGCTAATCCTTTGCAACGGGAGAATGTGAGATACATTTGTTCCGGCTTGTCCTGGGGGACAGAATGGGAAAAGAAAATTAGGCAATTGTTGTGTGAGAGAATAGAAAAGTGAAACCCAGCTGAATTGGGTTCTGTTCCCAAACTGGAATGATGTGATGCATTTTTGGATGAATTATGTAGAATGGTCTGAATGAAAAACGAGGAGATTTGAGTAGCGAGTTCTGTGGTTTCCGATATAATTTTTTTATCCTTTTGCATTCATTTACTTGCACTTAGGAGACCTAAATTCCTTCTACTTCTACAAAAGATACAGCCCTTGCAGCAGTGTGCTGGAGTAGATGGCTTTTTTCTTAAAAGAAGCTACTTTCACATGAGTTCAGCTTAACTAAATTAATTTAAAGTTGAGATAAGGCAATACAAGTTCTTTATCAAGCCTTTAGTTCTCAGTCTTCTTGAAGAACAGGGTTGAATAATCCAAGGATTTGCACATTTCTTTCTTTTTCAGTTTGCTGGACAAAGTTGGTTCTTCAGTAGTTCCTTTCTTGAGTTAAACTAGGCAGATTTCAGATATTTGAGAATAAAGAAACCACAGAGATCCATTACTTCTGTTGAGTGGACTTTCAAAGGAGTGAAAACTAGAGAAAACTTGGATTTGTGCATTTATTTTGGGCTCTAAAAGGAGGAGGAGGGGAAACTGGTTTCAAACCTGAGTGTCAGCGATGTTAATCTCCCTGCCTCTTGGAATACCAAAGGAAGAAGAACAAAGACTTAACGGGTGCCGGTCTTCACCCAAGGCACTGGGTTTTACTGTTGAATTAAATTGGTGTTAATGAAAGTTGTTCATCTGATACTAAAAATGCCCCAGCCCTGCTGCTCCTGGCACATCCCATCGTCACCTTCCGGGCTAGACAGGGCTTGAATGGCCCACGTACAAACCAGGCACATTTTCTTCCTCCGAGGAAACTATTGGCCCTTTTCTCCTCTGAGCGAGATAAAATGGCACAAGCCCAGTTCTCTCCCTTTTCAGGTCACTTTTTAATGTCTGAACACACGCTCCCTCTGTATTTTCTGGAAATCCTACACTTGTTCTGAGGCGTGGAAGTTCTGGCAGCACTCGCAATCCTCCCCTGCACTGAACTGTGCTCCTCCGTTTCTCACCATGCCGGGGTGTGAACGGCGTCTTTCCAAAGGTGTCCAAGTGCCATCTTTTCCTCTCGGATGAGCTGGTGTTTCAAATCTGCTTAAAAAAGCTTTGCTCCGTGACTCTAGGTGTTGTCAGGGTGTACTACTTTGTGCTAACCTTAATTAAGTTCAGCATTTTGGGGTTTTGTTGAAAAGCATTAAGAAATCCCTGTGGTGTTTGAGGATTCTTTTCCTTCAGGACGGGTTATAGGTGATGGTGTCGCTGTGAACTTGGCTGGGAGGCTGATGTCCGTCCGGGGGAGTTCTGGAGAGGACTAATCCTTTTCACCTGCCCCAAAATAAGAAATGTGTTTCTGTTTAGCCTCCTGTTCATGAAACAGCAGCTGAGGTTTATGGTGGTTTTTCTACTACAGAATCAGGATTGTTCTCCTTTGCCAGGTTTGCCCAGGCTTTTGTTTCCAAGCACAGCATGAAATTGTTTGGGTGGAACAATGTAAATGAGGTCATTTCTGCGTCCTGGTATGACTGATAACGTGCAGAACACTCTGCAGGTTTAGTAACTTGATTTGCTGGCTGTTATGTTGTTGTGTAGCTGTAATTCTCAGGAAGATCTTCCTTCCCTATCCTCCTTAATCTATAAATCTCTCCCACTTGTTGTGTTGGTGGCTTGAGTAGCTACGATTTTTTTTTTCTACCGGTGTTCAGCATTTTTTTGGTGTGTGCATTTCCTGGCTTTAATTTTTAATCATATTCAACTTCTGCACTTTTACACAGCTTTGTGAGTCTGTACTGTGTCACCTCTCTTGCTTGTGCTTTGCTTGACAGGAGCATAAAGGCTTGGAAAGGATGGCATTCCCTGTGAGAAAAGGGCTATAATTAGATCACAGAATCATGGAGTGGTTTGGGTTGGAAGGGAACTTGAAGCTCATCTCGTTCCACTCCTTGCCATGAGCAGGGACACCTTCCACTATCCCAGGTTGCCCCAAGTCCCATCCCATATGTCCTTGAACACCTCCAAGGATGGGGCAGCCACAGCTTCTCTGGGCAACCTGGGCCAGGGCCTCCCCACCCTCCCTACCAACAATTCCTTCCCAATATTCCATCTAACCCTGCATCTGGCAGTAGGAAGCCATTCCCCCTTCTCCTGTCCTTCCAGGCCTTGTCCCAAGTCCCTCTCCAGCTTTCCTGGAGCCCATTTAGGCACTGAAAGGGTCTTTTTGTCCTAGTTTGCATCCCAGAGCTTGAAGCCCTAAGGGCACCCTGGAAAACTTGGTCCCACCTCAAAGCCAGGCAGAACTTGTGTGCTCCTGATTGAGCCTCGCTGGGGGTGAGGTGGCCCCACACCCTCGTGGCACCTCTAGCTTGGCAGGTCCTCCCTGGAATTGTTCCTCCCTGTGTTCCAGCTGTGGGATTTTGCTGAGCAGGAGGGATCACAGCAGCTGTTTGGATTAGACGTCGGCACCTCGTCAGATGGGATGTGTCTGGAAGAGCTGCTCTGAAAACCACCCATGGCTCTGTGTCCTGAGGCCATCATGGTGTGATAGGGGCAGCGCCACTGTCTGTACCTGTTAGCCACAGGCACCCTGGCTGAGGAGCAGATGGAGCAGGGATCCTCTCAGCTGGGAAGGATGTTATTGGGATAAAGCTGAATCTGAGTCTTGACTTGTTGGTGCAGGATTGGCAGAGGGAGGAGGGCTGCCTGGAAAAGCAAAATAGGTGTGCACTGGGTGCTCTGATCAAAGGAGATACTGTTTTGACTGTGAAGTTCACAGAACTGCGATGACTAATTGGGAAAAAGCTTCCCTGGCTGAGTGTCCGTCCTGTGGAGAGTCCTAGGGGACAGCTCAGTGTTGTGCCCCTGAGAGGGCCAGCACAGGAGCTACTCTGTACTACAGTTACTCAGTTTGTAGGACAAACACAGGTGACCAGGAGGAGGCAGGCCTGGAAAAAACCCCTTTGTGTGCTTGGTTGCTGCTTGAACCCTTTGGTTTGGTGTGTAAATTCTCCTGCAGTACAAACTCTGTGGAAAAGCAGCAATAGTTGGGAAACTCGGAGTGGATGAACAAGAACCTCTTGGATTGTGTCCAGTGCAAAAGTAGCAGTTCTTGAGTGATTGTGTGTGCTGGTTTCTCCCTTTACTGAGAGTTTCTCTGATGCCAGCGTAGGAACTGGTTCCTCTGATCAGCAAAGATGTGCTCCAAGCTTGGGAGGGGGTGTGTTTCAAGCTTCTGACCCAAAAACTGCAGCTGAATTTACAGGTGTGTGTATTACCTGTTTGGATATATTTGTTACTGCCTTGTAGTTCAAAACTGGCTTCTGCAAAAACTCCATGAAGGCTGCTGTGGTTGTGGGATGAGCTGATCTGGCCTAAAATGGTTTTATTTTTGGCGTTTTTTCCTCTGCACTTGCTACTTTCTTGATTTGTTGATTTCTAAGCTCATCAAGACTGTGATATTGGTGTTATAAAAAATCCCAGACTATTCCCCAGATATTTCCCAGTGCACTGCTGCTCTTTGAGATCCTCACATTTGTCAAAGGCCTCTCACCCGAAAGGGAAACCCCGTGTGAGCTTTTGTGGAAAAGTCTTCAGTGAGGTGTCACATGAAGGGGAAAAAAGGGACCTGATGGGAAACGAGGAAACACCTCAGGAGGAGAAGTGTCTTTTTAGCTGACAGCAGGTTCTTTGAAGCACACTAGATTCTTGCTGCATGTTTTCAGATCCTTTCTGGATGGCATTTTACAGCTGCAGGTGTCTCGGATCGGTAACAACGTGATACCAGCTCAGTCTGAGCGTGGCATGGACCAGACACTTGGTGGTGAGGAAAGCCAGACGCTTCCCTGGGCTGTTCCAGACCACCACTGCTGCTGAGATTTTGGGGAAGGTCATGGAGTGACCCATCCAGCGTACCACTGTGAGAGCAGCAGAGATAAAATGTGTTATTCCTTATTTTTGCTATCTAGCTGCTCCAGTTTTGGAAGTATTTTAAGGCCTGACTCGGAAGAGGATCTTGACGTTCAAAGGGAAGAATTAAATCATGTATTTCACTTGATGTGCTCTCTCTTGCTGCCATGAGAACCCTTCCAAGTTGCCAGGCTGTTGTGGGTCCCGTGCTTGCCCTGCTAACGGTGCTCTCTGTCCTGTGGACAGGAATGCCCGAAATGCCACGTCACCATCGAGAAGGACGGGGGCTGCAACCACATGGTCTGTCGGAACCAGAACTGCAAGGCGGAGTTCTGCTGGGTGTGTCTGGGCCCCTGGGAGCCCCACGGATCTGCCTGGTGAGTTCGGGAGCGTGCCTTGCTGGAGGGCGAGGAGGTCGTGGTGCCAACGGCATGGATTTGGACTGAAATCTGTGGAATCGGTGTCCCCGTTACAGGTACAACTGTAATCGCTACAATGAGGATGATGCAAAGGCAGCAAGGGATGCACAGGAGGTGAGTCCATAACCTTTGGTGATGAGGGAGATCACCAGCCCTGTGGTTGTGCTTTCTGTAAACCTCCACAGCTGCTCGGAAGAAATTCATGGATTTGGGCACAAACTAAGGGACAGTTAAAGTCTTTCAGCGCTAGGATAGGGATGGCTTTGCTGGTATGTGCTGCCTCTGTACATCCACAACACACAAGTTGAACCATGCCCGTGGTGTTACTTTTTTACAGCTGGTCTGTCAGTGTGAAGAAAATAAGATTAATGAGAGTGTATTGAGTCATCTTGGTTCTCTTGCACTATTTAGCACACGGTGCCTTTCCCTGCTCTATAATCAACCTAAGGTTGCCCTCTTAACACAAGCACAGTAATTGTTTAATTAGAATTCTTCATTAGCAAAAAAAAAAAAATCATCTTCTCACTGTTTGCCATGGCTCTGAAAGTGTTTTGAGTGCTGTACCTCAAATTGAGAGGCTGAAACACAAACGTGGTCAGGCTTTAGGAGCTTGACTGTAATTACTTCCAAGGCTGGGAGTGAGGATGTCAGAGCTGTGCTAGGAAGTCCCCTGTGCCAGCGAGACGGGGGCTGGGCTGTCACCTCCAGTGTCGGGATCAGCGGGGCCGCACAGATTCGTCTGGTCAACGTGAGAGAAAAGGAAACTCCTTGGGAAAGGAAGCCCAATGTGGGGGTCAGGAAGAGCCTGGTGAAGGGTTTACTTCTCTTGCGGCCATTACTTTGTTTTAACTATTTGTTTTCTTTCTCTCTAATGGGAATTAACACAGCGATCCCGAGCAGCCCTGCAGAGGTACCTGTTCTACTGCAACCGCTACATGAACCACATGCAGAGCCTGCGCTTCGAGCACAAGCTCTACGCTCAGGTGAAGCAGAAGATGGAGGAGATGCAGCAGCACAACATGTCGTGGATCGAGGTGCAGTTCCTGAAGAAAGCAGTCGACGTCCTCTGCCAGTGTCGTGCCACACTCATGTACACTTACGTCTTTGCCTTCTACCTCAAAAAGAATAATCAGTCCATTATCTTTGAGGTAGGAAAAAATGGGGTTGTCAGGGGTTCAGATTGCAAAGCTAAAGAAATAGAGACTTGGAGACCTCTGGGCCCCACTTTTACCAAATTGAGTCTTTGTTAATATTCTCTGGAATAGAATATTGTGTAGGACTCTCTGGTGGAGGAATCACAGAATCACGAAGCCGTGGCTGCCCCATCCCTTGGAAGTGTCTGTCCAAGGCCAGGTTGGACAGGGCTTGGAGCAACCTGATCTAATGGAAGGTGTCCCTGCCCGTGGCAGGGGATGCAATGAGATGAGCTTTAAGCTCCCTTCCAACACAGATAATTTTGTGATTCGTGATATCTAATCCCACTTTTTATTTCTGTACTGATTTCAGTTGTGCTGAAGAAAAAATATTATATATTTTATATATAAATATATATATATACATTTAGCCCACCCAAATACTGTTTTTCTTTTGTCTTTGCAGAATAACCAAGCAGACTTAGAGAATGCTACAGAGGTGCTTTCTGGGTACCTGGAGCGAGATATATCCCAAGATTCGCTGCAAGACATAAAGCAGAAAGTACAGGATAAGTACAGGTTTGTGCTGGGATACTCCTCTCTCTCAAAGCTGCCCAAGTATTGCCATCCTCTGTGACAGGTAGTGGCCTGAGCACTTGCCAAGATACAGTCTTCTCCAGAGCCACATCCCTGGGAAGCTGTTTGCTGTTGGCCTCGTGCCATCCGCTGGGATCAGCAACCAGTCCCTGGGCATCTGGGAGCAGCAGCAGCAGCAGGAGCCTGCCCAACCCCCCAGTCCTCATGGAGAAGCCTCACACCGAGGCTGGCAGTGTGTTTTTGTGCCCCTGCTGGGACCAGCTCCCGGGGGAGGTGACAGCCTGGGGAGAGGCTCCCAGCTCAGCTTCCATCTGCTCCACAGAGCAGGAGCTGGAAGATCCAAGCCCGGAATGGAAAAAATCCTGTGACCAGAAGCAATGGCTGTTCGTGCACAGAAGGAGCGTGTGGGAATGGCCAGGACCAGGGTGGGATCTACACAACGAGGGCCAAAGAACAAGGAGTGACTTTGTTGTTCCAAGCTGCCAGCTTTGGCCTGGGATGAGTTGCCAGCAGGGAGCAATCAGCTCTTATAATCAACTGCAGGGTCCGTTTGTGCAGAATGGTGTAGGAAAGCTGTCCCTAAGGGGGAGGGGGGGTGGGAGCAGCCTGTCCAGCTGCGGAGGGGAGCAGGGGACTGGGGGCCAGGTGACACAGATGCCAGGGCTTTGTGCAGCCCTTGGGGAATCACTTCTGCACAGTGGAAAAGTACAAAGCTGAAAATGCGGATGAGTCACAGGATTATGGCTTTCGTTTCTGAGGCATTTTGCCAAAGTCACTGAATTTGTTATGCCTGGCTTAGGGGGAAGAAAAAAATCCAAAGTAGGGTGAGTCGTGGTGACTAATGGACTGTGGGGAGTGGAAGGAGCTGTTAAGCTTTGGTGGGCCTGTGGCCCATCCTGCTGGAGTCATCCAGCCCCAGCTGTGCTGCCAAAGACTTACCTGACCTCCTTTTTGGAGACGTTTTGTAATTTACCCTTTAAGGCCACCATTAAGTTGGTATTTCAGATCAAGCTGCTTGTTCACTTCAGTCCTCTGAACCTGCATGCTCTTCTAGGGATGAAATTAAAACCTAATGTAGCCTGGAAACAGTATCCCAAACCTGCCTTCACTTTGCTGGGAAGAAAGAATTCATCTGTCAAGCCTGTGCAGGTCCCTCATTAACTAGTTCAGTCATGTCTTAATCATGTCCTGCACCGTGTTCTTTGATGCAAGACTGGGAGCAGGATGTCATCGAGGTGGGTTTAAAGAGCTCTGGGAAGCTGCAGGAACTGCCCTGTGGGCTGGTTTGGTTTCAGCTGTTTGGATCTCTTTGCTTGCAAAGACATTTCTAGAAAACAGGATTAACACCCCTCCCTCCCCCCAGCAGAAAAATAACTAAAGTTGGGAAGGCAGAAATTGTGTGTGTTTGCCATCACATGCTCCTGAAAATCAATGGGACTTTGTATACGAGGGTTTATGTTGCAACAGCTGACAGCAGTGGGGAGAGCCAGGACTGGTTTATTGGGATAAATCCATCAGGGTGAGCAGATACTGAGCGGTAGGTGAGGAATCCCCACCAGGTGTTAGCCTGTGTGTGATCAGGGGTAGCTCCCTGCTGGGAGATTCCTCCTGAGGGATGTGTGACCAGTGCTGAGCAGTCGGGGTTTCCAGCAGCAGAGCCCCTCGGATGCCCATCCTGACCCAGGAACCTGCCTGGAAACTGAACCACACAATTCCCAGCAGGGCCTGGTAACTGGTCAGTTGGCTCCTGGGTTCCAGGTTCTCTCCTTAGAGCCAGGGTGCTGCCAGAGCAGCCCCACAGCTGCACCCGGGGCCTTGGGAACTCTCCCTGAGACTTGGTGTGTCCCCCACATCCCTAAAAGTGCTGCAGACTTTTGGGTCACCGCTGGAAGGGGTTGAATCCAGGATTTTTTTAGAATTTGCTCTTGGAACCCTAATTCTTTAAATGTTTCTCAGCTTTTAATCTTTTTAGTTGGCTGTGACAGCCTTTGCTCTGTTCTGTGATACCCCTTTTCCTCAGTGTCAGTGATCCTAGTAGGACTGGGCCAGACTCTGGGATCAGTTTTATGTGCAGTTTTGTTTCAGTGACTGTAGGTGGGAGGACCCTGAGGGTTTGGTGTCTCTCTGAGAGCCACGTGGAGGGATGTGAGGTGAACCCTGCTCTCCAGGCAGACCAGTGACCTTTTGGACTGCTTCCATCTCCACTGGGAAATAAAATCATGTCAGCACTCTTGAGGTTTTCATCATGGAATGGTTTGGATGTAAGGGACCTTGAGGACCATCCAGGACCCCCTGCTGTGGGCAGGGACACCTTCCACTAGACCAGGTTGCTCCAAGCCCCATCCAACCTGGCCTTGAGCACTTCCAGACAACTTTTCCAAGCTAATTCCTGCATTTTTGTTGTCCTGATGGGGCTCAGAGCAGGCACCAGCCCACGTTTGAGGAGAGCTCATCCCATTCTGGGTGTCACCACAAACCACAGTGGCTGCCTCCTTTTCCAGTTATTCCTGGAGGCTTCCCAGCAGGGACTGTGGGGACACTTTTGTCTGGAAAACTCCCAATTTACACACTGGTTTTCCAGCGAGGGACCTGGAGCTGAGTGACTGAGTCTTAATTAGGGCTGTTAACGGACTGCAAGTACAAAATCCTTCCTCGGGGGAGCTCCCCTTTGGGAAGCGAGGCGTGATGTAGGTTTGGATTGGCTGGTCCCAGGGATGCTCCGTGATTCCTAACCCGCCTTTTCCACGCTGTCCCTGTTCCCTGCAGATACTGCGAGAGCCGACGGAGGGTTTTGTTGCAGCACGTGCATGAAGGCTACGAGAAGGACCTGTGGGAGTACATCGAGGACTGAGCCCGGCCCCGCAGGAACGAACTCTGAACCCTTTCCCATCTTAGAGTGCTCATGCAATTCCAATAAAACCCACCCAGGGCGCTGCTCTGCCTCTTACACCGCTGGTCTGTAGTACCGGGATTCTGTTTTGTTAACAGAAAAAATTAAGTAAATTATATTGTAATAAAAAAAAAAAAAAAAGGTAGATAAACCATTGTACAACAGTATTCTAGGCGGCCAAGAGTGTGACAGACGCACTAAAAACCCTCCAACTTTAACTTGTAACGTAGCTTCATCCTCCAAGCCGACTCCTTTTTCTTTTCTCTCTTTCTTTTCCTGTGTGTAGTACAGATGAAACTTTAAACCAGTTTCTTGACACTGCTTTTCATGTCCAAACCAGCCATTTTGATGGACTTTGGCAAGAGGGGGTGGCTCTCCCGCCCCCCTCCTCCTCTCTGCCACCCAAGTACACGGATGAATGTGGATTATTGGCTCGTCGTAAAGAGGATTTTTGGGAAGGGGAGGAGGGGGGTACACAGCAAGGAAAAAAAAAACCAACCTTTGTATATGACTTTTAAAACAAAAAGAGGACAACACAGTATTTTTCAAAGTTGTATATAGCGCATATGCATGGACAAAGAGCAAGCGTGGCACGTGTTTGCATAATGTTTAATTACAAAAAAATATTTATTCTTTAAAAATCTTCAAGATTATGTCTATTTGCTGTGCATTTTCTTTCAGTTTGATTCTTTTGTTTGGTTTTGTTCTTTTTTTTTTTCCCTGGGCTGGGGTGGGGGAAGCGTGTGCTGGTGTAGTGAATATATCTATATCTATATTTTTTTTTTTTTTTCTGGAAGGCTTTTACCAGAGCAGCTGGGTTTCTCCTCTTCTGCAGTTCCTTTCTGTCCAGGGCCTCCCCCGGGCCTGTGTGTGTATCCATTGCTGGCGACGGACGTGGCCCCTCGCAGCTCCTGGAGCTCTGGGTCAGGATGCTTTGCCTTTTTTTCTTGTTTTATTTTTCGGCCCCGGATCTTTTCCTGCCCAAATCCAACTCTCTGTTCCCACCTGTGCACGCAGGACACGTGCTCTGAACCCAGAGGAGGAGTGTGTGTGTGTTTAGAGGTTTATTTTGGTTCCCGAGGCAGGACAAGGAGGGGTGTTTGGCACCGCTTCTCCAAAGGCTTCCAGCAAGATTTCGGCTGTGGATCTCCTCTCCCTCCCCCTTTCATCTGTCAAATGGACCCTTCCTTGCTGTTTTAATTTTCACTTACATTATAACGAGTCGTAACATTGAAAAGGAAACCTGATGGAATTGTCTTTGTGTTTGTTTTGGGCTCAATCACTGGGCATCCTGTCCTGGCAACTATTTAACACTCCATCTAGTGCAGTAGAAGCTGAAATCAGCGGAGTATTTTTCAATTAAAAGGGGAAAGAACTAATGAGTTTAGCTACTGAGTCCATTTTTATGATTTCTGTAACAAGAGCTATGTTAAAGTAAACAATTGGTGGTGGTTTTATTAAATTTACTCCTGTATAGGAATTCCTCCTGTGGTATTTTTCGCCAGGCAAGTGTCCTCCCAGCCTTCTGGCTCTCTGCAGCTTCCAGGGGGATCAAAGGTGTGAAGGGGTCAAATAAAAAAGGCAGATCCCAGGCAGGGCTAGAACATGGAATGCTGCTTCCAGCTGACATCAGAGTCACATTGGCTCCCTCACCCACACTACTGATGTTCCAGGGATGTAGTTTTATCCCTTTGTACCTGCTTTTGCCTTTATTTGCCCTACAGATCAGATGTGAGGGACTGCAGCCGCTTTCCCTGTGCTTTTCCTGATGGTGCTGGAGGGCTGGGATGGCACGGGCTTCCCATTGGGAATTCTGCATCCGTGTGTTAAAACACGCGGTGGGCTGGGCAGGTGGAAGAACAGAGGTGCTGGGTTTCCACAAAAGGAAAACACCAAGGATGTGGGCACTGCAACCCAAAGGTAACCTGGGCTGTGGCGTCCTCAACCCCCGCGGCTGTTCGAAAACCTTGCTAATGGCAATTAACTCCCTGTTCTGTGGGAGAAGCTGCTGCACGCCAAAGGAAACCCGGGCTGTGGTGTCTTGAATCTCGATGGTCGTTGGCAAACCTTAAGATAATGGTAATTCCCAAAGGAAACCCGGTCTGTGGCATCCTCGATCCTGATGGCAAACCTTAAGATAATGGTAATTAACATCCTGTTCTGTGGGAGGACCCGCAACCGTTCATCTCCTCCGGGTTCTAGTTGCTCCCAGGTGAAATACTTGGCTATGAGGACACCATCGCCCCAGACGCTGTGGGAATATAAGAGAGAATAAACAAAAGCCCTCACGCAAAGGTCCCTCCCTGCTGCTGCTCTGAGGGGTTGGGCGAGCGAGGCCCCGGCCCCGCAGCACTTCCCGGCCCGTCCCTCCTCACTGGCGGCCTGGCGGAATTCCCAATAAAACCTTCCAATAAAGGGACATTTGATAATTTCTGTGTTTTCCCGGGTGTTTTTCACGTCGAAGGGGACGCGGGGGCGACACCCAGGGGTCCTCCCGCCGCCACCGCCGCCTTCCCACCGTGCCCCGCGCGCCATGGCCGCCCCGGAAGTAGCCGGCGGTCGCCATGGCAACCCCGGCCCGCCGCGGCCATGGCGGAGCCGCCGGACGCCTCGGTGAGGGGCGAGAGGGGACCGGCGGGTCTGGGGGGCGAGAGCCTGCCGGCGGATGGGGGGCGAGAGGGGACCGGCGGGTCTGGGGGGCGAGCGGAGGGGGAGGGAGGTGAGGGGCGGCGGCGGGAGGTGCTTGTCAGAGTTTTTAATCTTTGCACATTTGGTAGGAAAAACATGAGGGAAATTCAGCCTTTATTGAAGTAATTAATTTTAGTCAGGGGTTAGCAGATGCTGGAGCGTGTCAGCGAAGGGTAGGGGAGCTGGGGAAGGGGCTGGGGGAGCGGCGGCTGAGGGAGCTGGGGTGAGGGGGCTGAGGGTGTTCGGCTGGAGAAGTTCCAGGGAGAGCTGAGAGCCCCTTCCAGGGCCTAAAGGGGCTCCAGGAGAGTTGGAGAGGGACTTGGGACAAGGGATAGAGGCACAAGATGAGGGGAAATGGCTTCCCACCGTTGGAGGGCAGGGTTAGATGGCCCTGGCCCAGGTTGCCCAGGGAAGCTGTGGCTGCCCCATCCCTGCAAGTGTCCAAGGCCAGGTTGGACGGGCTTGGAGCAACCTGGGATAGTGGAAGAAGTCCCTGCTCATGGCAGGGGAGTGGGACTTGATCACCTCTAAGGTCTCTTCTAACCCAAACCACTCCACGATTTTCTGGGTTTTTTTTGTTTTGTTTTGTTTGTGTTTTTTTTCTTTGTTTGTTTGTTTGTTTTGTTTTGTTTTGTTTCTTTGTGCCGGAGGGCAGTTGCTGTGAATTCACCCAGGCCTGGGATGTTCAGTGTATCTAGGAATGATCTGCACAAAAGCCTGACTAGAAAGTAACTCAGCTGAGGAGGAAATATGAAGAACTGCAGGGAAGTCTCAACAGTGCTGAGTGAGAGGACTTAGAATTGGATTGGTGTGTGCAGATTTAAAAAACAAAATTGTTAACAGATAAAAAAAGTGAGGGGTTTTTGCTAGTTATTGCTGCTGAGGAATGAGTGCTTGGCTTTGGGGAATTCTGTGAAAATATCAATTCAGTTTTTCACAATCAGCAAAATGAATAAAATTTTAGAAACTAGTAAGAAACAGGAAAAAGTAAACAGTAATTAAAAAAGGAAGAACCTTTCTTAGGTTATTTTGCATGTCTCAGGTACTGTACTCAGCATCTCTGATCCTCCCCATCTCCAGTAAAAAATGACACAATTAGAAAACGTTCCCAAAACATTGCAAGGAACGAGGATTGTCTGAATCTGTGCTTTAAAAGATTGTTTGTTAAGGAGAGGGGAGGTGACACAGGTGTATGAAATCCTGTGTTGTCTCTGGGGAAGAGGAGTGAGGAATGTTTCTTCCCCAAAAACTGAAGTAAAAAATAACAATGCTTCCCTGTGTAATCCTGTTTTTCTTCTGGGAAGGCTTGATTTTTGATGCAAAGTAAGAAAATGGTAAAAAATGCATTTATATTCCACAGCCTGGGAGCTCTGGGCAGTGTTTACAGGTCAAGGTTTGCTGCCCTCACCTGCTGTGGGCTCGGGGCGTTCCCCAGGACGAGCTCTGCTCTAATTACCTTCATAAAAATTTTACAAAAAATGTGGTTGGTTTTTTTTACTTATTTTCTGTGTGAGTTCTAATTAGCATCTCAAATGCTTGGGTGGTGTTCTTTTGAGAGGTGATGCTGCCTTTCGAGGATGCTGATGGACAGCAGTGAACCCACGGGAGGGGAATGAGCTGCACAATGAGGGGCTCCATTTCATCTACCCACGGAACAGAACTCTCAGCCTTGCTCGGCAGGGCAGAGTTTGTCCAGCAGCAATGCTGCTATTTCTGTGCTCTCTTTTGGGATTTGCCAGTTGTCCTTTCTGATTATTCTCTGGAGCAGAGCTCCAGGAGACCTTGACTGGTGTATTTACTGCTCCTGTTTCCTGTCTTTCCAGGTTTCTTCGTTGCCGGCGGCTAAAGGAGCTCCGAAACCCCGGCCTAAGAAAGGTTGGTTTGAAGATAGGATTGTGTTTCTTGGGCAGGTTGGTTTTAAGATTTCTTTTACAGTGTGTGCAGCTGTCTAGGAGGAAATAAATGTCCTCTGGGAAAAGAGGAGACTGTCTAGACTGCAGTTTGCTGAATACCAGTATTTTCCTAGGGTGTCTGTGAGCTCAGTGCTGTTCCTGGCTTAGTGCACCCACAGCCTGCATCATGTTTGCTTATAATCTGTGAGGCTGGTTTTTTATTGTGTACTTACTTGTTGGGCTGCTAATGAGTTTGATACTCGTTTATCTTCTCAAATAACAACAGGGTTTTTTTTCAGTTTGGGTTCTTCAGGGTGATGTCTTGCTGTGGAAATTATCTTAGGAAGCTGACATTGTGTCCTTTGGGTTTTTTATGTCACATTTGCAAAGATCTGAAATTGTGACTGGGTTTAATTATTGTTTGTTTGCTTTTGTTGTTTGTTTGTTGGTTTTTTTTTCACGTTTAAAACGAGTTAATTCAACTGGTTTGAAATTTTGGTTGAATCTGAACTGGAACAGGAACAATGTCAGCTATTGGTTCAAAAGACCTGACCAAATCCTGCTGGTCTGTGAGGGATCTGGTTGATCCTGCAGCACAGTTTGGTGCTGGAGCCCCTCCTTTCCCCCCTTCCCTGGTTCCTGTGGCTCCTGGTGCACGCGAGGAGTGTTTCCTTCCCTGTGGCTCCGGCCTGTGCTCCCCTTCCCTGCACTCACCTGGGTCCTGCAGAGCTTCTGGGCCTACCTAAGCTGAGCTCTGGGCTGGTTTTTAATGGATTTTCCTTTCTCAAGTGTCCAGAGGGCACTTTTTGGAGTATATGCTCCCCGTGCCAGCCAGAAACTCCCTTTTCCATTCCATCTGCCATTCAGGAAAGCTCAGTCAGGGAGCTCAGTCCTTTGCCCTGATGTGTCTGTCAGAGCACACTCTGGGAGGAAATCTTCCCTATTCCCTGAGGTGCAGACTGCCATGGGATAATGCTGGCATCCCAAAGGAGCTTGTTTGGCAGCTGGGCACTGCATTGACACTTCTGCCTAAAGATGGAGTTGTTCCTCTTGCATGTAGGCCCTGGGAAGCTGGAAAAGCCACTTTGCTTTTGTTTTGGGGAGCTCAGGCTCCCTGAATTCCTGGCAGCAGAATTCCAGCCCTTGAGCAGAGTGTGGCTGTCCTGGAGATGGGGTTTGAGGTCTCAGCACCAGCCCAGGCCCCTTTGGAACATTGCCCAGAGCTGCTTTGGGCCTGTATGCAAACAAAAATAACCCCCAAAGGTATTTTATCGTGGCTATCAAGTCCTTTAGAGCAAGGATTGCTCCAAAATGACTCTAAATTGGTAACTTTGAACCAGTTATTGTGACTTGCACTGAGGCAGTTCTGGCTTCTTAGGGAGATGGTTCATCTCCACCCTTCTCTGTGATGGTGATGGTTCTGATCTCACCCTCCATATCCCTCTCCTTGTTCTGCCTCCTGCAAGTCCCATCTCTTTGTGGCTCTGGATCCCCCTTTTGTGCTACGCAACTCTTGGCTCCAAGGAAACTGGGGTGAAATACAAAAGTCTTCCAGCCTGTGACTTTTGTAATTCTATTTTCTGTCTCTTCAGGTAAATTGAGGCATCTCCAGGGCCTGGCACACCTCAGGTCACTCACACTGGCACTCCTTGGAAGCCTTTGAGCTTTGCCTTTTAATATTTGACTTTAGTGCAGCAGGGAAAGCTGATTTGAGCTGCCTGATGGTTAATCTCTGGGAAATGAGGGCAGCAAAAAGATTTGTACTAGGAGTGATGTAACAGTGTCCTGTGTGCGTGGGTGAGGGGCTGGGGGCATGGAAGAGAGGAGGAGGGAGAGCCAGGGGATGCTGTCTATGTTTTTGTGGAATTTGGCAGGAAAGAATAGCATCCTTTTTCCCATGACAGTGGGGTTTTTTAAATAGGATTTTCCTAGAACATCTTAATTAAATACCTCCTCCTATTTTAGTTTGGCTGCGGAGAATTACGGTGAACTTTAGGGAGCCAAGGCTCCGGCAGTGCTGTTTGAACAGCAGAGTGCTGCTAAACTTATTTTGAACTGACATTTGTAAACACTGAATGGCCACTTTCTGTTGCAACAATTTGCCTTTTTGTATTTGCATTGTGCTTTCAAGCAGGATAAACTCCAGTATCAATGTCTTCTGAACCCAGCATTAATGCAACCAGGTCTGAAACGCAGAGGCCACGTGAGATAACGTGGTTGCCTGTGAGCAGTTTGGTGCGGGTGAAATTTGTGCCCACGTGGGGCAATAACTCTGGCTGTGGTTGTACCCAGGGGTGGCAGAGTGGGACCAAGTCAGGGCTGAAGCCCTGTTTTAACCATCCCAGTGCTGCTCCCAGCCTGTAACAGCTTGTCTGTGTCCTCTGTGGGGTAGTAGTGAGGTATTAAATGTGTGTTTCTCAGAATGGGATCTCAAAGTCGCCAGAAATAATTGGAATGACAAAATACACGTGTGGGTTTTGTTGCTTTAACCAGAAAAACACATTTTCACCAATGCAGGTGAGAATATGTTGAATATTGTTGAACCTGAGTGGAGCAGCTTCCCCTCACTGTTCCTTGCTTTCCCCCTGTGATCCTGCCTGTGAGCCAGGGAAAAATGGAAACCTTGAGCCAGTGTTTAACAACCTGTTTTTGTAACTCTTAATAACTTTGAGTTGGGAGGCAGAATTCGCTCTTGAAGTGGCTGAACCGTTGTGTGGCTGCTGGGCTGGGAAAGCCCAAAAGGTTGGGATTTGGGAGGGTCTGCCTGGCAGGCAGGTCAGCCCGAGGGAAGAGTGGGAGTGTTGAGGGAGGTTGAGGGGGGCCTAAAGGTTCTGGAGCAGACTGTGGTGGCAGGAGGGGCTGGGTTTGGGATCTCTCTGTCCCACCCTCTGAGTTAATGGGACCAGTGATGCCCCCTCGGATTGTCCTGTGGTGACAGTGATTGCTCAGCAGGGTGACACAGGAGCAGCAAACCCCATTCATTAGTTTGTCCTTTCCTCCCCACGGGGAGAGCTGCTCCCAGAATCAATTCCCATTGTTGCTCCATCAACATCCATAACTCTGCCTGCGTTGATATTTTGTCCCTGAGGCGACTGAGGGGAATAAAGGGAGCTCTGTTACTTGGAGCAATCTGGAGTTAATGTCAGCCTGCTGGGATGGGTGTTTAATCTCCCTCCTGCATTTTAAATCAATCAGATATTTTCCTAAATGGTTTGCTGGTTTGGAATTGAGATAGGCTGCCTCCCACTTTCCACTTTCCTTTTCCCACACAGGCAAATCAAGTCATTTTATAGGAGCAGAGAAACACTTTGACCAGTTTGTATTGTTGATTTTTATGGAGCATCACTTAAATTTATTTCCCTTAATCACTGAAAAACATATTGAGAAAGTAAGTTCTGAGCTCATGTTTGCCCAATAACAGTTCAGAGTTTAATGGGGCAATTTTAAATTCATTTGGACTTCTACATGAAGGTGAGACCTCAGAATTTGTGAGCTGCAGTGATGGTGTTTTGGGTAGAATCCTAAATATGTACACAATATAATAAATACACTGAAGCAAAATGGAATTCACCTGACTTGCTGGGAAGAACTTGGGATAGAAATCCTTTAGGCTGTGTAGAAGGAGGATTCTGAATTGTCACCAACCACCTCCACATTTACCCAAGGAAGGATCAGGTAGATAATTTTCAAAGTGAAAATCCTATAAAAGTATTAGCAGGGATTAAGTGTTCTCCCAGGCCTGGCATTGGGATATTTTTTTTGATGCTTTGTAGGTATGGTTTTTTCTAGGGTTTGAAGCAGGGAATTAACTGTGACCTTTGGCAAAGCGCTTTGGCTTTTGTTTCTTTCCATTTATCAACCACAAGCTTGGCCTAATATCCAGTGACAGGCTTTGGATGCTGCAGGCTTTTGGTTAACAAAACATTTGGAGACATGAAGTGAAAAATACCATGGAAATGGATACATTGCAATGCACTGCTTGGCCTTCTCGGGTAGTGAGGAATGTGGGCTCCTCCCTTGAAGCCCAGGGGAATCAGTGGGTTCCAGTAAAAACCAGTTGCCTGTTTGCTGGGCAGGAAAGCTCCCTTTGGTGGGTAGTGACTCCTTGATGATAAACAATCTCTCGGATAATAAACAACGTTCAGATTATGCAGAAGTTGATAAGCGGCCTTTGATGAGCAGCTCCTGCTCACCCAGATGAGCCAGTGGAGATCCCTCCTGCTCCTGCAGATATTCTGAGGGATTCTGTGAGTGTTTCAGTGGCTGGAGTGCCCTGAACAGCAGGAGCTCTTGACCCTGAGGAGTCAACTCCGTGCACTTGCAGAGACTATCGTTTCTGAATTCCTGATACATTTTCTTAAATCAATATAAATCCATTCTTTGAGCCAGCTTCAAAGCTGCCTTTGAACTTGTAAGAGTGAGGCTGCCTGAGCACTCCAGATAAAAACAACCCCCTTGAGTTAAATTAATTAATACTTCTAAGCGTGTCAGAAAGAGAGGCCTTGGTGGGAATGTTGTGGTCGGGAGGAGCCAGCGCAGCCCCTTATCTGTCCATACCCACTCCTTTCCATCTGGCCTTGTGCAAGCCAAGATCTTTTAGCCCATTTTATGTAAGAGACCTGGGTGTTTCCATCTCTCGGGGTAAGTGGGGAGTAGCTCTGTGTGCGCTGCTCAGGATGTGTCTGATCCAGCTGTTAGTTTGGAATAGTGAGATTAAAAAAAATGGATTAGCATTAAATTGTGTAATATCCTTCACTTCATCCTCCTCTCCTCGAAATAACAGCGCAGTAATCCCTGCAGCGCAAAGAACTCGGCATATTTAAGTTGGAATGTGCCAGCACAGCTCTGCCCTCTTGTGTGTGTACAACATTAATATCTGTGCTGACAAGAGCAGGGAATCCTGTGCAGGCAGCACAGCAGGGAACACTTCAGTGCCAACTTTTAAATCAGGTAAATTCTTTTTTCTGAAGTTTTTTTGAAAGC